ACTCCATTTAAAAAAAAAATTCCCTGCTGTGGTAATACAGTATGGCACTCTTCAGCTGTTTGGCAGCCGTATGTTTATTTTGTTAGGTAGGGTATCTGCAAGAAATTTCTTCAGGCTAAAGAAGCTTCATGTGATCCATGTGACTTCATGAAGAATACTAATATTTTAGACTTTAAGTCTATGAAGGTATACATGGTTTAACATGCACTTACTGAGGGTTTACCCTATTCCATTAAAAGTGACTATTTGATAGTCATCTTTCTTACTAGCTGCACAGAGGCTGTAGCATAGAAATTAAATGCTATTAACTAACTAGATAGGCATCTGTCTAACAGTATATTTCAGGGTTTTTATTGGTTGAAATGTGGACATTGTACTGGGTACTCTAATTAAAAAAAAAAAAACTCAATAGGGCCAGGAATACTTAAGCTCTGCTGGGGATTAGCATATAATTAAATCCAGGAAGGCCTTAGAGCTTTAAACCAAATTAGCTTTACTGTGATTTGAATGTGCAGTGTTCAGTTTCTATATAAGAATCTAGTGTTAAGTTTTTACTGAAATATCTGTAACATAACAAGAATCCAAATTGAACTATTTTTGTCAGTTCTCTGACAGTAAGCATCATAAGGGAAATGGCGAATTTTTATTGTTGCCTTTCAGTTTGCTTACAAGTTGGTCGTACTGAGTCATGTGGTGACTCTTTTCCTTCATGATGATATAGTGGTAACTAATATTCAGTTTCTTTTCCTTTGGGGAAAAATTAGGATTGATAATTGTGAATGTCAGATGACCTGTCAGTACTCCTATTTGAGGTCTATCAATATAAATGTAGAAAATGCTACCAATAGTGTAATGCTCCTGTGTTTGGAGATGGCACATTATGCTACTTAGTAAACAAAATAAATAACCAAGAGGAGTTTGGAAGGGGTAGGCCATCGACAGTGAATGAGCTACTTAAAGTTGCCAGTGCAAGATTTAGTATACTTTCTATGTAGCTGGTAATTAGTAAGCCCAAGGATTTGGGGGTGAGATAATACTGCTGCTCATCTGTTGTTCATCCAGTTGCCTGGAGTCCAGAAGGCTACAAACACAATCTGGCTGCTTGGTGTGGTGTGAGCAGTTCAGCGCAGGGAGGAGCTGCCCAGGTTCAGCCTGTGGGGGATGAGTCACCTGCTCTGGGGTGGCTCACAGCGGCTTTGTGACCTGTGGGCAAAGAGGGCTTCAGCGCTCAATGATCTAGTGGCTTCAGGTAGTATTAAGCAAGCAAAAAACAAGCTTGACTCTGAACAGTTCTGTTGCTGTTTACTAAACCAGCAATACTTTAAGCTTAAACTTTGGTCTTCTCTATTCCAGGGCCAAGCCTACTTCTGAGTAGGGCTTCTACCTCACTTTAGAAGCTGAACTTCTTACATTTCACTCTGTAAAAACAGAAGACTTGGAAGTAGACCACTATTAAAATGCTTGAATTATTTAGGTCTAGATTATTTCTAATTGCCTGAAATTTTTTATCTGTTTGGCAGTTCAATGTTTCCACCACAGAATAAGATGGACTGCATCATTATCCAATAGGAAAATTACTCAAGTTGCCTTTGACAAATGTGTCCGATTCTGTTCTTATGAGATAAAACAAATAGGCTTTTTTTCAGGCATACCATAGCTGTAGCTGTGCATTCCCCTCATGTTCTTGTGGGTTGGCATGGCTTCAAATCTGCAGGCTTACTGGAGAGACTGAACAGAGTCTTACTGGGCTGTGTTAACATTGTCTGTTTAGACTTGAGTCTCATTCCTAAGATTCCTAGGTTCTGAGGATCTCTCTGGGTAAAATACTGAAATGCTGTATTGAATGGACTCGGAGCATAGTCTGTAGCTGCTATTTATTTGTGCAGTAATAAAGGTGGTAACTGCTGTTGAATGTGACCAGGAAATAAATCTTTTGATAGTGTAGTCAGAGTACATGACTGCCCAGAATAAAGGATGCAAGTTACAAGTATCTGACATTATTAGCTTGAATAATTGCGTACTCTTACATGTAGTCATCCTAGCGTTCAGCATTTTTAGTGAGAAGTTCAGAAGGAAGATCTAAAAAAACCCTCAAAGCAAACACAGCTACAGCTGAACCAGTAAGTGGAGCCCAGGCTGAAGCTGGTGACTGTATGTATACATAAATACATGCTGATGGACATATATGGTGTGTTGTGTCCTTGAAGACTAGTGAGTGAGAAGTTAGGTATGTGTCTAAGGAATTAGTTTCTGGGTGAGGCTTTGAGACTCCTTTTTAGACAGCAGCTATTTGGCCTAACAATAATGATCTTCAAGACAAGGAGCTAATCCTGCCCTTACTTGCCTGAGCGTTGCAAGGCAGCAGTGGTGCTCAGAACTGCCAGAGCACTGAACGGGTGCTCAGGCTGGAGCTTGTGCTTGCACCAGCTTGGTGCTACTGCAGAGCAGTATGGGTGGCTGGTTAACAGACATCCTCCTCGGCAATATATCTGCCACAGGCTGGTAACTTGGCCCTGGGGCTCTAGGCAGTGTAATAGCAGTGCTGGAGATAACTGGGCAATAATTTAGTGAGAGCATGTTTATTGACAGTAACGGCAAGCAGAGCTTGGCCCAAAAGAGCGAGTATTCAACTAGTCAGGTCAGCTTGCTTGGGCATCTTCCTAACATGCCATTTACTGTTGAAGACAGCTAACAGTTTCTGAAAAGCAATTTTTGAAAGTTGCCTCTGTTAGACTGGCATTATTTATGAAGATGAGCCTTTGAATAAAAGTCTTGTTCAACAAACTACCTTCTGCTGCCTACTTTGGTAATGCTTCATTCCCCATGTGTTACTCTTCACTTCAAAAACAACATTCCTGGGATTCTTTACTCCTTCCTTCTCACATAAGCTGCCCAACTGAAGTCATCTGTGATGCATTCACACCATTCCCCTCTCTGCTTTGTGCAACAGCATGAGCTGTCTGTCAGTTAAAAACTTGAGGAATTTCTCTAATCCAGTTATAATCTGTTTAGCCTCAGAGACCTTACAGACAATTAGTTTAGATAGTTTGAAGAAAATTGGTGATATAATTAGATGATAACCCCAAAATTCATGTCTGATTGTCTTGAAAGCTGTAATCTTATATATTCTTTATCTGTCATGGACCTAAAATACAGCATAGAGCATATATGGCTAACAAAATGCAGTTTTAAGTTACAGGCATGCATTTCAAAGTCAGAGCCCTTACCCACTGGACTGCTGTTAAGTAGTCTCTGAATGAGAAATGTGTTTTACTTGGGAAGTAAAACTTGGAGGTTTTCAGGCCAAATTGAATGCTGGTAATGTGATGGGAACCCTCTACAAAAAGGAAAAACTTCCTCAGATCCATTCTCAGAATTCAACAGATGATAGAAATGAGATCTCTGAGTCTGCAGACACTGGTGTAACTCTGCACTTTGCAAAGAACTAACATGCCTCCTGACAGTGCTGGGAGTAAAATATGCACAAAGCAATGCTTGCATTCGATCAGAGTAGACTAGCTTGTGCTCTTTCATTGACCAAAAGTTGCTCTATGGGCTGAATGTGAAAGCAGACTGCAAGCCTATATATTGGTGCACAAACTAGTCAGTCTTTGCTATAGGTATGCTTACTCAGGCATGCCTACAGGATTGGAATCTGTTTCTGTTGGGAATACTGAAAAGTGCCTTAATTCTAACTACAGTCTTCTAAAAATTGCTAGTAGCCATGACAACTGAAGATGCTTTTTGCACTTGAAACTTCTTACATGCTTTAAATATTAGAAAAATCAAGATGTGATTTATTTCAAAACATAAGGGAAAATATCTTAAAATATTTCTGTGGACTGTAAAAGAGTCTTTCTTCTGAGACTGGTTTATTTCTGTACTCATCAAATTATTTGCCTGCTGTAAAATACTTTCTGTGAAAGTGCAATTAATGTCAAAACTTTGTCAAACTTTGAAGAAGCTTTTGGGGGGGGGAGGTGAGAAGGAAGGTATTAAGATTATTTTTCTCGGGTCAATTCCAGCAGATTAATGCTGAGACTTAAACCTGCTCTGATCTGATTTCCCTTTCCCAGTTATTGGGGAGCATCACAAGCTTTCAGTGGAAGATGAATCACAAGGGTGCCATCCATCTTACCTACTTATGAGAGCAGTTCCTTTTTTAGGCAAAAAACAAGTGTGGCAGTGAGCGACTGAAATAGTGTTTTGGGAATACAGGGTATGTTCTTGAAGAAAAGATGGTAGCTGGCTGCTGTTAAAGAACTTCA